TGTGTGAGTGTGTGTTTGTGTGTATGTGTGAGTGTGTGTGTGTGTGTGTACACCCCATGGAAGCCAGAAAAAGGACACTGGTTCCCTTAGAGCTGAGGTTATATTTCCTTTGTGAGCTGCTTGAGTACTGAGATCCTAACTCCAGTCCTTGTGACAGGGCAGCAAATATCCGCTCTCCAGCCCCATGCAACTGAACTGAACAGAACTTTGAATCAGTGAATACTATCTAAAATTACTTACGCACACCAATTCACCCTAAGATATACTTTGAGCTCTGACTACTTTATAGGAACTTTTGGAAGAGTAACATCTGTACTTCACAGGCCAGAAACTCAAAGAGTAACCAACTCAAAGGGAAATTCAAGGGAGAACCTATCTAAAAGAAGACGTCAGGCTGGAGAACTGGCTCAGTGGTTAGGAGCTCCACCTGGTTTCTGGCCACTCAGAACTAGCTGTTACTCCAGTTCCAGGGAATACGCTGCCCTCTACTGGCGGTTGTGAGCACTACATGCACATTGTGCACAGACATACATACTGGCAAAAGGTAGGGAGATGGATGGATGGATGGATGGATGGATGGATGGATGGATGGATGGATAGTAGATAGATGGAAAGATAAAATGTCCAAGTACTGGGATGGCAAGGAGCAATCAAACATGCAGATCACATCCTGATCTTGTTCTGCTTTGCATTTTTCATCTCATCCAAACAATGCAAATGATATAAAATCATAATTAGCATACAAACATTTTTCAATCCATTCTATGAAACCCAACACTCAATCAGCCTCAGCTGGGTCCCAGGCATTACCTTCCTTTTCTGATTGCTGAGTCAGCATGGTCAAAGCCTCCTCTGCTTTAGGACTTCCCACTGTAGACAGGGCATAGGTTACAAGTGCTAAGGTATAATTGTCCGAAATTCCTCTGCTGAATTCAGATTCCAAAAACTTGATAGAGTCTTGTACATTGATATTAGGCTTGGAAGAAAAACATGCATATTTTACTATTTCCCTATATGTAAATAAAAAGTACATGGAAGCATCCACTCAAAGAATGATTCCAGGCCTGTTAAATATCTGACTTCAGCGTAGGCAATGGGAATCAACAATGTTCATTGACATTTAAGCATCTGCTATATGTTCTGAAAATAATAGGACTGTTCTCTTGCCGTAACTAAGGAGACACTATTCTTTAAAAGGAGTAAATAAATAAATAAATAAATAAACTTCTACAACCCCTTCATCTTGCTGAGTGTTATGAATCCAAATGGCAAAAGAAAATTATGGCTTCGAGAATATGCTTTTTTCTCATGCAGAACCCTAGGAATTGAATCTCTAAGCTCAGAGAAAAGTTTGCCTTGCACAGGCCCAGTATGAAACTGGGAAAACAGTCAGAGTTTAATGAAGGGAATGGCAGATTGAGAAGTGGGGGTCCAATAAGCAATAAGACGTCAAACAGCCAGAGAGCCCTACGGCAACATTCAGATGATCACAAAAGGGGAGAGAGAACCTGTAGAGACTGTACCCAGAGGTTAGGCACAGCCCCCAGCTGAGGGATGGCACCACCCACCCATCTCAAAAATATTAACCAAGAATTGCTCCTGTCAAAAGGAAATGCAGGGACAAAAAGTGGAGCAGAGACTGAAGGAAAGACCATCCAGAGACTGTCCCACCTAGGGATCCATCCCATCTGCAGACACCAAACCCAGTCACTAATATGGATGCCAAGAAGCACATGCTGACAGGAGCCTGGTATAGCTGTCCCCTAAGAGGCTCTGCCAGAGTCTGACAAATACAGATATGGATGTTCACTGAGCACAGGGACCCCATTGGAGGAGTTAGGAAAAGGACTGAAGGAGCCGAAGGGGTTTTCAAACCCATAGAAAGAACAATATCAATCAACCAGACCCTCCACAGCTCCCAAGGACTAAATCATCAACCAAAGAGTACACACGGAGAGACCCATGGCTCCCACTGCATATGTGGAAGGAGAGCCCTATGGAGGCTCAATGCCCCAGCGTAGGGAAATTCTAGGGCACTGAGGCTGAGGTGGGTTGGTAGGTGGGTGGGTGGGTGGGTGGGGGAGCTCCCTCATAGAAGCAGGAGGAGGGAGAGGGGGTGGGGAGTTGTGGAGGAGAAACTGGGAAGGGGTACAACATTTGAAATGTAAATAAATAAAATAACCAATTTTAAAAAGAGATTACATCTCTGCAGAGCATCCATCATTGTCTACAGCCTGGCCCTCCTTCTGCCAGGTTTCAAAGGTAAGACGCTTTCATTAAATTAACAGACACTGCCATTACTCCCTAAAGGTTTAAAGATCTTAAAAACAAACCAAAAAAAATCCTTCAAAATGACTGATGACATAGCTTAGCTGGACGTTTGCCTCCTATAAGCAATGCCCTAGGCTCAATCCATAGCACTGAAAAAAAAATCACTTCAACTTGCTAGGACATAGTTCCAAATTCTAAAGTGCTTTATCCTAACAATGAAACACTCCTGACCTCTGTTCCAGTAACAAGCACAATGCATATATTATTACAAAGGCTTTCAGAGTCTCCTAAGAATGGGTTACTATTTTTCTCCAAATTGTGGAATGTGTGTCTAAATGCAAAGCACACAGCTATCCTAATGCAATATAAAATTACAAAGTACTTCCCATTTCCAGACACATATTTGACGCAGCAAGAGTCACTTGATTTCAATTTGTGAAAAAAGAAAAAAAAATAATACCTGATACTTTTTGTATCCCAGGACAGAAGTCACAATATAGGCTGTAAGTGTTACTGGGCTCTTGTTGCCACCTTGAAGTTCACTGTGAATCACTCTTCCTGGCTCCCAATATTCACCATTGGATTTCTCATGTGCTTTGAGCCAAGTATATGTTCTATGTAACACATCCTGATCAATATCTATATAGTAATCAGCTTCCAGAAAACATTTTAAAACAAATGCTGACAGCCTTGGAGAAAAGGGGGAAAGCACATAAGATACATTTATGTCCTAAGCTCTCGCTGAGCATGCGACACAAAAGACAAATTCAGAAAATTCACCAGATATAAAACAAAAAGAAAGACAACAAAGAGACAATATAAAAAACCGTGTCTTAGCTGGTGGACCTGGTTCTTATTTGGGCATGACAAAGAAATTTCAGATCAATTCACAGAATGTCACATTTGGAAATTCATTTAGGAATTATCTGCTGATTATTTAGAAATAATCTCATACCAGTATTTTACAGGTTGAGAATCCAACCTCCCATGGTGGTTAAATTACCAAATGGTGCACACCTCTTGACTTCTCCAGGCTTATGACAAAAACACCTCATCATGCTCAGCTCAAAGCATTAGATAAGCATTTGAAGTTCGCAAGCAACTTCAATACTTTCTTTATGTTCAATACTTTATGTGAGAGAAGTGGGTAGTTTTCAGTCCTGTAAAACTGTAAACTAAGGGACTAACCTCGTGGACCTGTGTGTGTGTGTGTGTGTGTGTGTGTGTGTGTGTGTGTGTGTGTGTCTGTGTCTGTGTGTGTGTGTGTGGCTGTATGTGGCTGTGTATGGCTGTATGTGTGTGTGTATATGTATGTTAGCATCTATGTAAATGGGTTGGGGTGTGCCTGTGTAGAAGCCCAAGGTGAACACTGAATGTCTCCTCATGCCGTTCCTCCTTCTCTTCTACCTTTGTTTTTTGAGACAGGGTATCTCACTGAAGTTTACCAACTGAACCAAACTGGATGGCCAATGAGCTTCAGGGACCTGGTTGTCTCCACACACAACATCTCATCCCTCCCATCGTGAGCCTGGGGTAATAGGCACGTGTCACCATGCTCAGCTTTTCACATGGATTCTAGAATCCAAACTCAGTTCTCATGCTTGTGTGGCAGGCACTGTACTAAGTGTACCATCTCCCCAACCCTAGGAATAATTCTTAGAGAGAGAAAGAAAAGAAATTAAAGAGAGAGAGAGAGAGAGAGAGAGAGAGAGAGAGAGAGAGAGAGAGA